TCTTTGTCAATTAGTTGACTACAGATGTGTGTGTTTATTTCTTATGCCAGTATGCTCTAATCATAATTATTTCCCTCCTTATTCCAACTCTGGATGGACCTTTTCTTTTTGTAGTTCCTTAAAGTATAAATTTATATTGTTTATTCAAGATCTTCCTTTTTTAATGCAGGTATTTGTAGCTGTAAACATTCTTCTTAACACTGGTTTTGCAGCATCCCATATATCTTGGTGCATTATATTTTTCATTTGTCTCAAGATTTCTCTTTTGATTATTCTTTGACTTTTCAAAAGTGTGCTATTTAATTTTCATGCATCAATGAATTTTCTAGTTTTCCTTCTGCCATTAATTTCAACTTTCATTTCATTTCATTGAGGTAATAGCATATATTTAATATGACTTGTATTCTTAAATTGGCTGGCTTGTTTTGTGGCCTAACGTGACCTATCCTAGACTGTGCCCCATGTGTGCCTCATAGTAATGTGTATTCTGTTGTTGTTCTGTGGAAATGTCACGTGTGTGTTATGTCTATTTAGTCTATAGTGTTGTGCTCTTCTGTTCCTCTATTAATTTTCTCTTTGAATATTAATACATTACTGAAAGTGGGAATTGAAATCCCCCACTAAGTTATTGTGTTGCTGTATTCTTTTCCCTTCAGTTCTTGCAATGTTTGTTCTGTATATGTATTTATAATTGTTTTATCTTCCAGGAGAATTTACCTTTTATTATTATATGATATCCTTAATCTTGTATTGATGGTTTTTGACTTCAAATGTATTTTATGTGATATTATATGGTTTTATGTATGGTTACTCCTGCTCTCCTTTGGTTATGATTTGCATAAACTATCTTCTTCAATTCAATTCTTTTGCTTCAGTTTAAATCTAAAGTAAATTTCTTGTAGATTGAGACTATATAGTTGCATTTTGCTTTCTGATCCAACCAGCCACTATATGCCTTTATTGGTTGAGGAGTTTGACTCATATTTAAAATATTTATTGATAGACAGACTTACTTTTACCATTTTATTAACTGTTTTCTGTCTTATAGCAATTTTGTCCCTTATTCCTTTCTTGTTATCTTCCTTTGTGTTGTTGACTTTATTGTAGTTAACTTGCTTTGACTTTCATTTTCTTTTGTGTATCTCCTATAAGTATTTTCCTTGTGGTTATCACTGGGCTTACACAAAACATTTCAAAGATATTCTCCTGTCAATATTTTGTTATTGATGTCACAACATATTTTTATATATTGGATCCATTAACTTATTTTTTATAGTTATGTCTACTTTTTTAATTTCTATACCTGAATTAAAAGAGATACACAGCTCCCTATTACAGTATTACATCATCCTATATTGGTCTATAAATTTACCTTTATCAGCAAGGTTTATATTTCCATATGCTTTTGTGTTGCTGTTCAGTGTCTTTTTCTTTCCATTTGAAAAACTCATCCAAGAATTTCTTGTAAGATATGTCTAGTGGTGAAGAATTCTCTGTTTTTGTTTATCTGAAAAGTTTTTTACTTCTTCATTCTCGAAGGATAGTTATTCTGGATATAGTGTTCTTGGTTGGCATTTTTTTCTTTCAGTATTTTGAATATACCATTTCAATCTCTTCTACCCTGCAGGGTTTCTGGTAAGAAATCTTCTGACCTTCTTACTGGAGTTCCCTTGTACATGACTAACAAGCTGCTTTCCTTTTGTTGTTTTAAAATTCTGTCTTTGATAGGCTGATCATAATGTAGCTGTGTGACTTTCTTGGGTTCATCCTACTTGGAGTTAATTGGTTTTCTTGAATCTGGATGTCTATTTCCTTCCCCAGAGAGTTTATTTCTTTCTTTATTTTTTGCCCTCTACTCTATTTCCTTTTGGATTACCATACTGGTCCACCATATAGGATACCAACCAACACCTATAGGGTACTGTATAAGTTCCCTAGACTTTCTTCACTTCCTTTCATTCCTTTTTCCTTTTTGTTCCTGAATAATTTCACATGACCTGCCTTGGAATTTGCTGTTTCTTTCTTCTGTATAATCAAGTTTGCTCTTGTACGCCTTCAGTTAAAATTTCAGTTAAGTTATTGTAATCTTCAGCTCCAAGATGTGCTTGGTTCTTTTTCACATTTTCTCTTTGCTTTTATTCTCATTTTGCTCACTTTATTCTCAATAACATGTATCACTTTATTGATGGCTATTTTGAATTCCTAGGTAATACATATATAGTTATGCACTGCTTAAAGATGGGGGTAATTCTAAGAAATGTATCACTAGGTGGTGATGGCATTGTCAAACATTATAGAATGTGTTATTATCCACAGTTCTTACTTTCACTGGCATAGCAATTCAGAAGGGCATTTTGGAAGAGGAGCTGAGTCATCTATGACTTCCTATTGCTCTTGTAGTACCCTGGCAGTGTGTGCTACAATTTCCTAGGCAATAGTAATTTTGGAACCACCATTGTACATGTGGTCCATTGTTGACCAAAATATCATTATGTGACATATGACTTATCCTGTTTCATCTGGATTGGTTTCTGGAGATTTATATTGTTCCTTTGTATGGACTTTGTTTCTCTGTTTCTTCGTGTGTCTGATAACTTTGTGTTAGAATGTACACATATGGAGAAATAGGTATTTAAGTTTTTATATAATGACTTTATAAAGGGGAAGAAATCATCCAGCTTGGCTAATAAGTCTGGGAATCTCTGAAATCTTTTGAAAAGGGATGAACTTCTCTTTGGTCTGTGTGAGCAATCTGTCAGTTAGAAAGGCTTGTTGGTTTCTTTTCAGGAGATAGTAATCTCTTGCTCCCTGTGGTGTCTTAGCTCCATATACTACCATTACACTACTTACTATATTCAATCTACAGACCTATCCCAGTCCTAATCAGGGACTTCCTGAATTGTTGGCATCATATCCCAAGCTTCTCTAGAACTGGAATACAAGACGACTACTATTTAGTGAGAGAATAAATGAATTAGCTCATATATTTCAATAAGAGTGTTTGATCAGAGGTGAGTGCACAGTTAGGATGGATGACTCTGTCTTTAACTCTTATTGTATATTCCTTTATATTTCAAATACCATTCTCTTTCATCACTCGTTCTGTTCAAACTACACTAATGATTCCTCTTTCACCATTATTACCACACAGATACATTTCATGGAGTAAATTCTTCCAGATTATGTGCACGGGACAGTAGGAAAGCAAGTGATTCGTATTTTAAAATTTCACTTATTATTTTGAAATAATTTTAAACTAACAGATAAAGTTGCAAAAATAGTAACATTCTCTTGACCTCATATCCTTAATAGTAACATCTTACAAAACACTAGTATAATTATTAAAAGTGGAAAATGAACATGGAACCAGCAGACCTTATGGGAATTTAAATAATATCCCAATAATGTCCTTACTTTGGTATAGGATCCCACATCACATTTAATTAATATCAGATCTCCTTAGTCTCCTCTGAGGGAATGTGTTACCATTCCCCAATATTTCCTGATCTTGATATTTTTGAAAACTACCAGTTAACTATTGTGTAGACTGTCCCTTGATTTGGGTTTCTAAACATAAGTATGACAGTTGGCTCTGTAACCTACTATCTATGCGGCCTCGTAAAGTGGGATAATAACACTGATTTTATGTTTTAAAAGTTAAATGAGGCAGTTTCTGCCTTTCAACTATTTCTGAAAGAGTATTTTAATGATTTACCCATATTTTAATGCCTCCCTTTTTAAACAAAATCATATAAAATTTGCCTTCAAGTGATGGCTCAGTTTTATTACTATTTTATACCTATATGTCATAGTGGGTAATAGTTCTAATTCTGAGTCTTCATTCTTTCTTGCTACTGTTCCCTCTCATCATCAGTACGGCTGCTGCTAAGAAATTCCCTTTCTGATTTTTAGCTTGAGAAAAAAGGGGATCCATTTTCACTCATATATTTATCAAAGATGTACGAATCTACTGTATTAGGATCTTGGGGAGACTAATGTTATCTCCTGTCCTCACAGATTTTATGGTTAGTAGGGGAAAGGACAGTAGTTAATTATAGTACAACATGTTTGAACTGTTCAATGTGGTCAATTCTATGGAAGATGCAATGTCTTAGGAGCATATAAGAACACCTAACCTGGATTTGGGGGGAAAATAAGGCTGGAGGTTTCATGGAAAAGGTGTCATTTTTTCTCAGCTAAGGTCTACAAAATATGTAGAAATTAACCAGATAAAAGAGGAAAGAGAGCAAAAGCTTCAGGAAGAGCTATTAGAATTATGTGCTGAGTAAAAGCAAATCAGTTCTGAAAAATAAATCTCCTGCGTTGTAAACTTGCAGCTTGAGAGAGATTTTGTGCCAATACCTCAGGGGCTCAGAAACTTCACCAGGAAACTTCTGGCCCCAGAGCTCTGTTCTGGAGATTGCAGTTGACAGACCTACACTTTTGGATATTATATTAAGCTTACCTCTCTCAACATCTGTGAACTGAAGTAAAATTTAAGGCTACAATTGGCTGTTTGCTCCCATTCCAAAAGTATAACAGAAGTGTGCCTTTCTAACAGAGGAGTTTCTTGCTTTTTAAAAAAATTTAATATTAATGGCCATCAAAAAGTGCTTTTTAAATTTACCTTTTCAGCTCAGATGGAAAGCGAGGTTCTGAGGCTTTCCCAGCTTCCCCCTTTTACAGCACTCATTCCTGTGGTCTCAGAGCTGGGCTTTAATTCCAGTTGGTTCCAGAATCCCAGTCTAAGCACAGAAGTTTGTGATCTTGGCAAATGTTACAAGTATACCCTCTATTAAATATTGGAATTAAGGAGACTCCAATATAAGCTTTTTTCAAAATCAGAGGTTTCTCTGCCAGTTCCTATTTTACACTCCCAATCATCTTCTATTTTTTTTTTTTTTAAATCTGAAGAATAAGCTGAATTCTTTAAGTTTTCTCTACAGGGAATATATGTCAAACCTTAACTGCTTCTAAGTCAAAGCAACAATATTACATACCGTCAACTGGTGTATCAGGAGGTCCATTAAGAAGGTAATCTTGTTACTAAACAGAACATTGGTACAGTTTTCTGAACAGTTATTGCAGGTGAGGTTGTAAACATTGATTGCATTGCAGAGAGACCTAATAGAAGGAGAAAAACACCATTTATAAAAACCTGAGCAACTCTTCTCTAAAGAACTTAAAGTACATTAAAAGAATGGTATGATAACAACAGTCATGGGATAGAAGTCACTTTAAAAAGCCAAGCCAAATATTACTAGGTGCAAGGCCCATCTGCTAGGTATAAAGTTTATAATTTTTACCCAAAGTCCAATGTTCATTAGTACCTAATACCTCTTATTAAGTTCCTAGTTGCAGCAGGAATGGAAATGTATTTACTAGTCTATCTGATAATGTTATAATAATTCAGGTTAGATATCACCCAGGAGATTGGGGGTCTAGAATTTTTGACTAATACCCAGAAAAAGTGGTTTCAAAGCTTCTGTTGCCAGATCTCTTAGTTGAATCCAGAGACAAATGCTTGAAGGAGGGAGAACCCACATGGAAAAGATGGAGTCTCTCCCTGTAAGACAATCACTACAGAGTTCTGAAGTGTAACCACCACACCTGCCTAGAGGTTGTGTGGATGGATGTAACTCAGAATGCTCACACAGGAGGAGCTAGAAAGTGCAATGGTCTAAGATCAAACTTGGGCCAAAGAAATGCTTTTCTCTTAGGGCTTAAAAAAATGTATGCCATTGTTCAGAGAAACTCAAAAAGTGGAATCCAGGTATCATACAGAAACATTTTAGAAATGCAAAATCTCAGGTTCTACCCCAAAGCTACTAAATAAGATCTTTGTAGGTCAAGTTTTTTTTTTTTTTTGACAAATCCTGCAGGTAACTCTATGCACTCTCAAGTCAGAGAACCACTGTCCTTAGAATAGTGGCTCAATAGCTTGACTGAACATTGTAGTCACCTGTAGATGTTTAAAAATTAGACACTGGAGATGGTAGCTGGGGAATGAGCAGTTTTAGACATTTTCATGTTTCAAAAGCTCTATGGGCAATTCTGATGTGCAGTCAGAGTTGAGAACCACAGATCGAAGGACCACTCTGTAAACATTCATTGATTCATTGATTCATTCAACAAACATCTAAGTATTTATGATTTTCCAGGTTCTGTGCCAGGTGGAAAAGAGAAGTGAGACTCTTCCCTCATGGAACTGACCTCTACTGGGAAAGATCGGGTTAGAGAGCCCCTGTTGCACTTGTAATCACCTGTTTTTCTGATATAGTTGTATCTCATGTAACAACTGGTAGTTAATAACTGGTAGTTTTTGAAAACTGGCCTCAGAATATGGTTAATGATAGAGACAACAGAATAAGGTACACCTATGTTAGAATTCTGCACCTGTGATTTGATAACTGAGCAAGTTACGAATTTAACATCTTAGCTTCCATTTTTCTCACCTATAAATCTGGGATAATACCTAAGTTTCATATGGTGGACAGGAGAATGAAATGAGGTAACAGATGTAAAATACTTAGGACAATGCCTGGCACATAGTTAAATACTCAGTAACTGATAGCCTTTATTAGGGTTATTAATTTTATTATTCTTGCTATGAATGAGGTACAAATAAAATGTTAATAAACTGAATCCAACTAAAACATGCCACAGAAGCTAGTATCTCCAGGATAATAAAATGCAGTGCTCTCCAAAGTTTTTCATGGTAAAATGACACAGATATTGAGAAGTTGTCTAAGTCCGTTAAGCTGAAGGGAGCCAGGAGGTGCCTTAACTGTATCTGGTGTCACTCAATAGTTGAGGACAATACAGAAAGGTTGATCATATGTAACCTATTTATGACACATTGGTTGGAAGCTTTTCCTAGAAAATCATTCAAAAATGCAAATTAGCACCATTTCATTTATTAGAAAACATCTAGATTTTGCAAGTGCTTTTTTAAAATGTAATAAACAAAATGTATTTATGATTATAAAAATAATTGTAATAAATTTGGGAAAGAGGCACAAAGTAATAGTAAAAATTTACCAAGAGATAATTTGGCATTTGTATTTCCATTTTTTTCCAATTCTTAAAATATATGTTCATTTAACAAATATATAATGAATACTTCCCTATGACATCTAATATTTTTATGAACTCTTGCCTTTAATCTTTAAAAGAAACTACAGAATGCTTTCTTATCAGAAGTTTAAACCACAGAAAAATAAAATCAGAGTTGTTCTAATGAGAGCAGGAGTGGGAGAACTCAAGACCCTACTCTGTTCCTGACTCTCAAAGGGCCCTGAAATTTTTGCTTAGAGGTGGCGTGTGTTTCCTTGGAATACAGTAATAATTACTGAGCTGTGATACAATTAAAAGTCACTTGGTGACTTTTTGATTAGGAATGACAACCACAGTATAACATGCATGAGAAAGCGCTCACGGGAGAAAGCATCTTCCTCTTTCTTATGTGCCCAGCTACTCAGTTTCCCATCTGAGAAATCACCATGGTTACTAGTTTATGTACCCTTCCAGAGATGGTCTATGCATATATAAGAAATTCCCCCGTAAACAAAGAATGTACAAGGTTTGGAAATGTGAGGCAGCAGCATCCAGGTTCCAATTTTCAGTGTCCAGATTTCAAGAACAAGTGGGGTAACTTGTGCTACTTGATTTCATTTCCCAGTCTCTGATCTGCAGCGTCAAGCACCCCTCTTGGTTCCCTGGATGTAAGAGACAGTGTGTGGCATTAGTGGCTTTCTTTTCTAATCTGTCAACCTCAAAAGGAGCAGTGCCCCCAGTGGACACATCCGATACTGTTTTGGAGACAACACAGAGGCCTACTACCTTTTTCAACAATTTTATAAACATCTAATATCTTATTCTAAATTCTTTTTCTGAGTTAAATGCTTAATCTGAGAAATACTGCATGCCTTTAAAAAGGTAGAACAGTATCTTTTCATATGTATATATAATTTTCTTTCTTTTTTTTTTTTTAAATTTATTTATTTATACAAGCACTGGGTATAGTCAGAAGAGCGGGAGGATGAGAGAATTCACCAGAGCCAGAGTGGGGAGTAGAGCAGGCAGAAGGACCGAAGTACACTGCTGAGGGGAGCAGCGGGCTCCATGTGGGACCCTCCTCCGGTGGCCGGGGAGCAGCTGGGAATCGAACCAGCGCAGCAGAGGCTGCGGGCAGCTTCGCAACCCAGCGCTCAACTGCTGCGCCACTGGGGAGGCCCTGCATATATAATTTTCAACTTATCCCTTATTATTGTCAACATTATACATAATGCTATTTTAATAATCGAGAGTTCTGAGTTGAAAATCATAGGAAGAAAACTCCTGTTTATTTGAAAAGAAAGGAAACTGGAAGGCTATTGGGTATATCATAGGATGTGGAAAACACAAGTGTATAAAGTAACACTGCCTGGACAAATACCAAATCACACACCATCAAAATGATGTGCAGCCTAGGACCATATGGCTGCAGCTTGAACCAAGAATGTGACTTTGGACACTAATGTAGCTGCCTCCACCTGTCAAAAGAATAGTTTGGGATATCCTTGCTGCTTTGCTTTATTTCATTAGAGTCTATGCAAATGTTTGGAATGAGTATGCTGGGTTGTGAAGACTTTGTCACATGCCTATATTCCAGACAAGATGAAGACTGGGAAGTAAACACCTGGCATTATCAGGTTCTACAGTGGAAGGACTGCCTTGTACGCTTGGAAACTCTGCAAACAAGGTATTTTCAACAGCAAATATAGGATATATGCACAGTATAACCTATAGTCACAAAAACTGCACTGAACAAATCATTCTGCTTCCTTAGGACTTTATATCCTTGGTAAGATTAATATACAAAATTACAGGTCCCTAAAAACTGTGAAAATGGGGATATTACATTCAGCATGATGTATGACACCTACAGCTCAATAATAATATATTATTTTCTCTGGTTTTGATCTATAATTTTCACGGTCTTGATTTTTGATATCTATTTCTCTTGTTTTTTTTTTTTTAATAGAATCTTTACAACTTTTCTAAAACTGTTTGTATAATATCTCATTAGTAAATACACACAGAAAGCAAACAACATGTAGTGTCAGAATTTGTCCTAATGTTCTCTGTGCCTTAAAGAAAACAAATTAACTGGTAAAGGATAGATTGTGCATCAACATCATCTCATGCTCAAAACATCTCTTTTTTTTTTTTTTTTTTTTAAAGATTATTTATTTATTTATACAAGCACTGGGTACAGTCAGAAGCGCGGGAGGGTGAGAGAATTCACCAGAGCCAGAGCAGGGAGCAGAGCAGGCAGAAGGACTGAAGTACACTGCTGAGGGGAGCAGCGGGCGGCAGGAGAGGTCTGCGCGCCATGTGGGACCCTCCTCCGGTGGCCGGGGAGCAGCCGGGGAGCAGCCGGGGAGCGAACCGGCGCCTCAGAGGCTGAGGGCAGCCTCGCAACCCAGCGCTCAACCGCTGCGCCACTGGGGAGGCCCTCAAAACATCTCTTAAGAAACTTCCACAAAGAAACTTTTTCATGAGAAAAAAGGTACAAGGACTGAAAATCTCAGGGTCAAGAAAACTTGTTCACTCAGTAAAACTTGTTTGAAAGACAACCTCTATTTGAAGAGCACCTGTCTTAAAAAGATCACCTCTTTGAACCCAACTTGGGTGGTCTGCCCAAGCGCTTTCCCTGTAATTTAAGACTTAAATGACTGGAAGCACTTTTTAACATCAAACAGAAAGCCTCAGATTTTAAAACTATCTTCTGAGAAGACATTAGAATCTGTCTATTCTGTCAAAATACACTGCGGTTGAGTGGAGATAAAGGCCCTCTGCCCCAAGTGATCACGACATGAGTGAATCTTCTATTAGTAATCTTCTCACTGAAAACGTTTCCCCTGAAAACCGGAGCACAGAAAAGGCATCACAAGCTGGCAGTAAGGACAGGAACATATTTATGTACCACAAGGTACAAGAGAGTACACAAGCCCGGCCCGCCTCAGACAGTGAATGCAGTCCTTCTGGCACGGTGAAGTAGTTACCCAGAAAGTCCCAGGAGGTTAAAACTGGAAATGATTTGATAATATAACCGAAGACTTGTCAGAAAACACTCTTCACCAGAATCTACTGTTTTACCC